GTGAAGCGTGTGAAGCCGTGGGTAAAAGCTAGTACTAAATAACTGTGCTGTCTGTACTTCTGTCTGCCTACAATGAATAAAAGGTGAGTTTGTTATGTTATTCACGCATTATTAAGTACCGTGTTCGAAGGCTATCATGTGTGAAAAGAAAAAAATGAACGCGATTCTTTTGATGCGTGAAACGAAAAACGAATGGTGCGAGCGTCAATTATTTTAAGCGAGTCAGCCCGACGAACGCTTAGAATGTTATGTGCCAATAAAATATAGGTTTAATGTTTTCGTATTTTGAACGTTTTTCCGTGATGACATGCATTTCCTTCGGCCATTTTCTTTTGTTTCGGCTTTTTAAGGGTCATTGCATTGTTTTTGTTTTGTTTTCGTTTGAATTTTCATATCTGTATATTGTATGTCACTGAACTTCTTTCAAACGACTGGACCGATTTTGATGAATTTTTTTTATGTGTGTTCAAGGGGATCTGGGAATGGTTTACATTTACAAATCAGCCCGGCAGATGGCTCTGCAGTAGATGTCTATGTTAATTATCCTAAACGGCTGAACTACATTTAAGTGGATATGCAGGACAACGTCTGTTGTGTCCGCTAGTCTTTATATATATTTCTGCTATGTGTGTGTATGTCATTGAACTCCTCCTAAACGGCTTGACCGAATTAAATGAATTTTTCTGTACGCGTTTGAGTGGTGCCCTGGATGGTTTAGATTCACAAATCAGCCCGGCAGATGGCGCTGCAGTCGGTGTCTAGGTGATTTATCCTAAACGGCTGAACTAATTTGAATGAATTTTTGTTTATACATTTAAGTGTATATGCAGGACGACGTCCGACGGGTCCGCTTGTATTCTTATAGTTCTTTTGAGCGGGTGAGCCATAGTTGTAGTGCGTATAGACACGCGTGCTTGTGTGCGTAACTCGCAGCAAGCTCATTCATTGGTATGCCGGTCAAAACTGGGCGTTCCCGAGCAAACAAAATGTATGCAAACAAAGACAATGTGCGTGAATATTTACCCACACAAGTTCGGCGCACCCGCGCTTGTGAGATGAAACATCTATGCTATATTGGTATCGTATTTAAGATATGTATATAAAAACCAGATTAGAGCTTGATATCCAAATTAATGTTAGCTAACCAAAACTAAATATATATATATTATTATTAAAAAATTACTTTAAAATTATCATTTATTTGCGAACATTTTCTGAGTTTTATAGCTTTAGGTGACACAATTTTGTATAAATATAATCAATCAACAAACGAAGTGGTTCGTTTATATTGAAACTATCGTGAAACATACTAAATTAATAAGTAATTACTCTTTTATTATTATCATATTAAATATTAATTAATAATTGATTTAGTATGTCTCATAATAACTATATCATCGCCCAAAGAATACTCCCCATGAATATGAGCCTCTGATATGGCTTGAAACTAGTCGAATTCCTAGCCCAACATTTACGTGAGTAAGCCAAAAACATAATAAATAACCACCACATCCAGTAAAGACACCGTAATGTTATAACATTTTCTAAATACTACGTCCTACATACCGCCACAAATACGCAACTTTATTTATATCATTCTTTTTTCGCCCCCACGTGACATCGCATGACTATAAACAGTGATTCCACCATAAAATATTTATGAAAGCTATTTGCATGATTTGAGCCCTAATTATATGTAAATATGTCTCAAATCTCAATGTTATAGACCTCTATAAAGAGATAGTGAAATTTATGAGTCGTTTAGTGCGTACTGTAGTTTTGGAGATAAGGGTACGCGTATAACTTTAGGGAGAGTCGTAACATGACACGTTCTTGGAAATCTTGTGTTCCGAAATTGTGTAGACAGAGAAGTCATTCGCTCAATCAATTTTTGTCAGCCATGTTAGAAAGTATTGTTTTTATTGCATTTTTTAATGGGACAAACCCACCACAACCTCCCAAAACCGCTGCAACTCCTGTAAGTCAGGATCTACAGTAGATACAACCATGAAAACACTGGTACACTGAAGTCCGGCGCGTCCTAGGGACATGAGTAACTGTCTTGGTTCCCGCAACGAAGACATTCAGAAGATATTATAAGAGGAGAAGAAAAAAAACGATAGTTTCCACTTCCCTCGGTGAATTACTGCAGGAGACAGAATGAATTAAGCCTAAAGACACAAAAAGAGACTGTACAACTGCATAATTTATTGCATAAATTATTTAATTTGATTCTGATATTTACGTGTATCGGGAAATAGAGAATTGATGATTTGGTTCAAGAAGGTTTAGCGCCGGTTTCACTAACTCCATATAAGTAACTGATAAACTTATATTACAGATAGTTCATACAAATAACGTTCTTAATTCAAATTTATCTGGTAGATAACGGCTATCCAGATATTGTGAAACAGTTCCTTATTGTTGTTTTTCTGAAAAGCTGGCACATAAGTGTTGAACGTAGTTACGGACGTCGGTGGTGATGAAAACGAGTACAAAACCGCCTCGATCTTGAAAATTATTAATTTATTTTGTAATCTAACACTGTTGCTGCTATTTAAGTGTTTTATAATTAAATGGCAGTTTGATAAACGGTACAGCGTATTCATTTTGATGCTGTATGAAGTTTAACGTTCACGTGAACAAGTCACTAATTCATTATGCCATCCGGCTTCGCTGACATATGTAGGTACATTTTGACATAAGGTCCAATTTCGACTGAACTTTTTTTTTGAACAAATCAGCATTATAATAGCAATATTATAACAAGAAAAGGGAGTTTTAAGATATTTATATGTTAAAAATACGTTCAAATAGAGTAGGTACTACTTATAGATAAAGTATCAAATACAGTGCAATCTTCGTAAACCACATTTGTATTATTTTGATTGAGTTTTATATTGTGATTCTAAATGATCATTCGTTACTTCATTTATATCTTTCAAATACTTTTCATCAATATGTAACCTAAGTGAATGTAATACCGAGATTGCACTGTAAATTGATTAACAAGAAAAATAGAGGAATTTCTATATAGCTATTATTATTTTATTTACAATAATATTGTTATAACAAACAGATCAACTATTTTATTAAAACTTCTAATTTAGACTAAATATGTATCTCAATGCTTATTGCCATCAAATGGACAATTTGAGCAACTATTTTTCTATAAATATTACATTACAGCAAATTTTATCTCTACAATATAAATAAAACTTGGGGTCTTTTAACCCCCAAAGTCAAGAGGGGTCATTGGACACAAGTGTCAATAGACCCCATTGTACCAACTACTATAAATAAATTATTGCTATGTGAATACTATTATTTTTACATTCTACTATAATAATATCTAAATATCGCACCCGTACTATGAACTTGCAATATTGCGAAGCGTTTTTTCGAAAATTATCTTAATAAGTAGACTTACGATTAAAATGATGACTAGACCATATGTTTGCGATTTTCAATCGCGTAATCGTTATCAAATTTAGAACTACCACTTTACCTAGAGAAGGACTGTAAGTTTTTTGCCACAGTGTATATATAATACTTTGTGCAGTTGATCAACGTTTCAAATGTCAAACGATATTCACAGTGGTTTGACAGCTTACCACAGATATTATAAAGTTACTCTTCACAGTTCAACATTAATACCAAAGACTGAAAAAAGTCAGACATAATGCAAAGTGTGGGAGAGCCATGCTTCGACACAAATGGGCCGGCTAGACCGGAGTGATACCCCGGCCTCACAGAAAACCGACGTGAAGCAACGCTTGCGTTGTGTTTCGTGACGTTACCGGAGGCCCAATTTACCCTCCCCTTCCCCAATCTCCCCAATTCCTGAATCCCCAACGATCCTCAAACTTCTAATCCCCAAAAGGCCGGTAACGCACTTGTAACGCCTCTGGTGTTCCAGGTGTCCATGGGCGATGCCGATTGCTTACCATCAGGTGATCCATCTACTCGTTTACCGGCTTATGCCATAAAAAAAAAAACGTAGAAAAGATTGATGCACAATAATGTCAGTGGTTTATGTATTTGTGCGTGTGTATTGAGTTAACACGTTACCAGGCTTCAGAAAATTACAGATATACTTCATGTCTATGTGTTTATGTTCTGCGTGTGACTCTATAGTAGCCAGGTGCCACAGTCGTTGTTTCAAGAGCCTGTGTCCGCCATTTTTCAAAGTCCTTGATAAATACGTTGAAAGTTTAAAATTAAAAAGATTCAATACTTTTTCGTTACTCTACGTCCCTCTTACTATCAGCTATTATTCTTTTTAGGAATACCAACTAAATTAATAGGGATGATTACAGGGTATGAAAATTAATAATTAGTCCGTCAGTTAGGTAATGAAAAAATATTAGACACGTATTTTTTTATTTTGTCGTATAAGAAAACAATACTTTGATAAAACAAATCAAAGTTTAGGAGTAGGAGGTAGCTACGTCATTTTAGAATATAAATCGTACTCAAAAGTGACGTCATACGATATTTCAAATCAATATAGCTTCGAAACTATTCGTTTCCGTAAGAAAATAGAAAATACGTGTCTAATGTTTTTAAATAATCTACCAGACCGACATTAAAATAAAAATTAGGCATCTATCCTATTGTGTCAAACAACTGCACATAGTAAGTTATCCGTGTCTATTACTATTCTAAAACATACATATAAACATTGACGTATCAGTTTGTTATATAAAGCCTTAATTAAAGAGAGCGCGAACACATACAGATATTTACGTCAACACTTAGTTAACATTTCCGTATATATTACAATACAATATTAATAAAGCGAAATTTTGTCATTACATTTCCAATATTCGATATACCACATACGTTCCTACATAGATTCAACATACAAAAAACTTATATATACCGCGCCCGAGTATAAGCCTACGTACAAAATAGCAGTATTCGATGCTCTATTCTACACTAACACAAATCGTTCATGAGATTTTACGACTGCGACTTTTTAGTCGCACATCTAATTACTACACAAACTGCGCGGTTCCCGTGTCTTTCCAGCAACTGAAGCAGCAAGGTAGGGCGCACATGAGCGTGTTTTTGAACGCGTCTCGAAAATCGCGATTGAAGTAGGCGTAAATGAGCGGATTGAGTGCTGAATTGAAGTAGCCAATCCAGAATAGTACGCCGACAACGACAGATGGTGTTTCGCACGGCTCGCCGCACACGTTTGTTGTGACGTACCTGGAAAATAAATGTATTTTGAGGAACTGATTATGTAGTTGATATGACTTCTATACATTGTTCTTTTACATTTAATTGAGTTGATTTTTACAACGTAATTGTAGTGGTAGTACCGCTTGAAACCAGAAGGTCTCGATGATAAATAAATTAAGAAACTACGAGATTTTTTTATTAAATAAAATACTTTATTAAAGTCAAACGCATATACATATGAACAAGTAATAACCTATATATTAGAATATAATATTTTAATAGATCAACAAATGTGCCGGTTACTTACCATAGAAAAAAAGGAAGCCAACACAACAAAAATGCGCCGACAATGATACCAAGTGTGCGCGCAGCTTTATGCTCCGCTCGCCACGACTTGCCAGCCGCACGCAGAGTCGCACCTGTTGGCAATTAAAAATAATGATTCTATAATTTATTTTTAATTGTTTTTTTTATGGCATAAGCCGCTAAACGAGGTGACGGATCACCTGATGGTAAGCAATCGGCGTTGGCCATGGACACCTGGAACACCAGATGCGTTACAGGTGCATTACCGGCCTTTTGGGGATAAGGAGTTTGAGGATCGTTGGGGATTTAGGGATTGGGAAGATTGGGGAAGGGGAGGATAATTGGACCTCCGGTAACCTCACTCACACGACGAAACACAACGCAAGCGTTGCTTCACGTCGGTTTTCTGTGAGGGTGGTATCACTCCGGTCGAGCCGGCCCATTCGTGCCGAAGAATGGCTCTCCCACACTTATAATTGATAACGTAAGATCACACCTATTATTCCTCAGAGGGCTATTTTGCACATTATGTTGTTATCAGTAAGAGTTTGACACTCCCTCTCGCCTCACCCGGGAGAGAAGTCATTGGATGATTTTCCCCCCTCAGCCTGTTGCAATAAGGCTAGTCTGTGGTTGGGTATAGTAGAATTTGTATACCTTGGAGCTTAAAACGTATTTGGAATTCAGTAACTTCAGTAAGTATAGGTGTGCAGGTAGATTTTTAAAGTGATACTAGGTCTTAATGAAAGTCATACTCGGTCTTAATCAAAGTAAATATTAAGCGCGAATTATGTAAACAAGCCTACTAAAAACTGATAGATTATCTTAAAGATAAGAATTCTTGGCAGCATTTTGGTTCGGCTCCACTGGACAATGCTCAAATGTAATCAGTAGTTAGATTCCAATAGTAGGTAATTTAATAATTGAATACTTTCATTCTAATGTAGACAATCTAGTTTCCTTATGGCATCGAGCATTGCTTTCTTTATTGAAACAAAGAGTTCCCTTTTTCTTGTATAGAAGTACTATTTTTATGGATTGTCAGTATGCATATGTGAGCACTATGTTAAACGATAAGTTTTTTTTTGTTTTTAATTGTTTGTTTGACTTTGACTAATGATATTTGCCCAAAATAATTGTATTATTTGCGCATGAGCGTGTTAAATCTGGTATTGATAAACATACAATGTGCCTATAAGGAACAAAATTAAATAATGTTGTGTTTTAAATATTCTATCTTAAATAAAACAAATTATATAATAAAACACGCCATAAATTACTAAGAACAAACTTCCAACACAAAACACATTCATTTCCATTAAATTTTCATACACAAAATGTATGAAATGTATGAAGAAAAAAAACGAAGCATGAACTCATTTCATATGCAACATGTCTTACAAGTTTTGTACTTGTAACAGGTGGGGTACGAAAGTATGGCGAAGTTTTCTTATTTCTTGAAGATAATATTGCCCGTCTCCCATATTGCCGGGAGAAAAGTTTCACCGCTACAAATGGGGTGCTGTTTCAAAGGATTTCATGACGATTATGTAGGAAATACATTGTTGTAGGGTCGCTGGTTGTGAAATTAAAGCCCCGGTGTTCTTGATGATTATTTATTTATTGGCAACTTCATAACAACATAACATCACACCTTTTATTCCCAAAGGGGTAGGCAGAGGTGCACATTATGCCACTGTACATTGTAACACCCACTTTTCACTATTTATGTTATGGGTCCCATGTAATAGGGGGTAAGCCTATTGCCATATACCGGGCACAATTCCAGACTCCGTGCTACAACTGAGATTTTTTTAAACCTAGTAATACTTTGCCCGACCCGGGAATCGAACCCGAGACCCCTTGCCCGGCAGTGGCAATTGCGACCATTCGGCCAAGGAGCCAGTGGCAACTTCACTGTTACATAAATTTAATATAAACTAATCAAGATAATTGCACCCTTAAGTGGAGGGATGAAAGGGACTGCGTGGCTATCATCTTTCAGACCTCCGTGAGCTGGCTACTTCCAGAAGACCGCTAGGCTATCGAATTGGAGATAGTCGTACTTACATAATGCGTACAGTATTGAAATATGTATCAGAGACATTGTAGAATTCTTGCTCGTTCTTCTCCATTCGAATCTACTTTATGGAATGAGCACCTAGCTTCACCTAGTTTCACTGACGGACTGACTGACAGACTATTATTTATTTTGTATTTGTTGACGTTTCAAAAGTACCAAACTATGGTTTAATTGAAATAAATGCTTTGACTTTTTTTTAGGGTTTTTTTAAGGGGGGAAAAATCATCGTATGACTGCTTCCGCCTTTTTTTTAGGTTTAGAGAAGGCTGCTAGGCGACCGAACTCTGAACTCCTCTAGCTAGTAGAATGATGATTTGTTCGAAGACAACTTTGCTTATATAGGCGGATGGATGGTTTGCATGTTTGCTCAATCTTCATAATAGTTGTTTGTAGTTGTGGTTGTTTTGGATATATTATACTAGATCGATCATTGATGTGATTTAAATTTTGCAAAAGTATTGCAAAGATGATATTAAAACCTGCATTCTAGATAACACGATGCCTTCGTCTCCGAAGTACAAATAGTTAGTGATTTTATTTAACTACCTTTACATCCTAACATAACATTCAAAACATCACTCCTTTTATCACCGAAGGGTTAAGCAGAGGTGGATATTACGACAATTAATGCTACACTGCAATATAACACCCACTTTTCACTTTTATGTTATAAGTCCCATCTAATAGGGGTTGAGCCTATTACTATATACCGGGTCTTTTTTTTTAAGGGGGGAAAATCATCGAATGACTTCTCCCGCCTGGGTGAGGCGGAAGGGAGTGTCAGACTCTTACTGACTAAAAACCACCCCGTTCCTTCTCCTGCACATCGAGCCGGAGCCCCGGTTACCCGTTAGGTTCTCCGCGACTCCAAATCGGCATCGGCCCTATTGGGCCCCATCTGTGGTAGTCTGATGGCTCTTTGAGGCGCGCGCGGAACGCTACGCGCCGTACGTTCAGGTCTGGGATATACCGGTACCCCTTGCGCGGCAGTCGCACTTTCAACCATTCGGCCAAGGAAGCAGTCACTTTTACTTACTTGTACTTCCTATCCCAACTGAAATTTAGCAATCAACTCTACCTACCTACATTATACGCATGCACTATACTCCTAACACGCGGTATACCTCCCACTTATACAAACTACAAACAACCTTCACCTGCGGTATTGGCAGGCAATTTACTACAGGTTTACATTGTCTAGGTACTGATCAATTTACCAAGTTACATAAACTTTACCTGAGTTGCAGGACGCGATAATTACAAAGTTTTCAATGAAAAAGCTTATTACAGTTTATTTATGCGCTGTTAAGTATAGTCTGAATTATTTGATTGCCTCATTTGCCAAGTGGTCGCAAGTGCGACTGCCGGGCAAGGGGTCTCGGGTTCAATTCCCGGGTCGAGCAAAGTATTACTGGGTTTGTAAAAACCTCAGTAGTAGCACGGATCCTGGAAATGTGCCCGGTATATGGCAATAGGCTCACCCCCTATTACATGGGACTCATAACATAAATAGTGAAAACTGTGTGTTATATTGTACAGTGGCATTAAGTGCCGTAATGTGCACCTCTGCCTACCCCTTCGAGGATAAAAGGCGTGATGTTATATGTTATGAATTATTTGAAGGTTAATAGTAGATAACCTAGTAATTTTGGATCAGTTATTCAATTAGATAACTAATTTGAGGAGTAATAAAAATGATAGGATCAAGAATTTTATATTGTTTGCCTCGGCCGAGTGGTCGCAAGTGTGACTGCTAAGCACCGGGCCGGGAAAAAATTTACTAGGTTTTTTCTAGGTTTTTTTAAGTGTGGGAGAGCCATGCTTCGGCACGGATGGGCCGGCTCGACTGGAGCGATACCAAGCCTCACAGAAAACCGACGAGAAGCAACGGTTGCGTTGTGTTTCGTCGTGTGAGTGAGGTTACCGGAGGCCCATATACCCTCCCCTTCCCCAAACTCCCCAATCCCTGAATCCCCAAAAAAAAAAAATCATCAGTAGACGCACGGAGTCTGAAATTGTGCACGGTAGGCAATAGGTTCATCCCCTATTACATGGGACTTATGAGTCCCATAAATAGTCAAAAGTGGGTGTTACTTTGGACAGTCGCATTAAGTGCTGTAATGAGCAATTGTACATCTCTGCCTACCTCTTCGAGGATAGAATAGCGTGATGTTATGTTATGTTAAATGGAAATTATTTTGAGAACCTGATAGAAATTTGTTGCTAGCATCGGTTTGGTATCGGAATCGAATGTTTGGTATCGTATGCTCCATTATCGAATATGCACCGTTGTATCATTTCGGGAACTCATTTGAGGATGCGTACATTCAACGAAACAATTTATTTATTTATTTATTTTATTTATTTCTTTATTTCAGGCAACTGTGGCCCCTATAAAATACAATCTTACTAATATTATAAATTGGAAAGTGAGTTTGTTTGTTTGTTTGTTTGTTCCACCTTCACGCCGTAACTACTAGTTTGTTTGTTTGTTTGTTTGTTCCACCTTCACGCCGTAACTACTAAACCGATTGCTTTGAATTTTTGCAGACGTAAAGTTAGAAATCCTGATTAAATAATAGGGTACTTTTTATCCCGGAAAAAATAAATATTCCCGAAGGAAAACAAAAGTAATTGGTATAGATGGCGCTGTGTGTGTTGGTATATATCACATAGGCTACTTTTTATCGTTTTGTGACGCGAGCGAAGCCGCGGGTCAAAGCTAGTACACAAATAAAAATACAATGCAAAACTAAAAAATTACAAATACCAAAAAATACAAACATCAATAAACTAATAGATATACAATAACAAAACTCATAATTATAATTATTGCACACGAAGAGACGGCGTCGTGTTTCGCTGACTGGTATCACGTAGCCGGCCACGGAAACGCCGATACACGATACCCTTCGGCCAAAACTGTTCCTTGAGAAAATTTACCTAACCAAGAATATTGAATTGTGAACCTGATTGAGAAAGATTAACTTATGGAGTTTCTTGCTCGTTCTTCTCCATAAGAATCTACACTTTCAAACGTGCAAATAGCTTCACTATAGGAGCCAACAGACTGTTTTTTTTAATATTTCAATATTTTGTTTTGACCTTCAAAAGTGCGTTCCTGGTGCATTTTGTTAAAAAACCA